GAAATGAAGTTTGATCTGATTTTTTGCAATAAATTCTCTTAAACTAAAGGGAGGTTGACTGCAAAGTTTCATAGAATTACGGTGAATCCTCGACATAGTTCGATTTTTTTAGGGTCAAGCGTTAAAGAGGCAGAAACAACAAAACCTTCGACTATGCAATAAATTTTGATCTGAATTTTTGCATGGACATCTCTCTCAACAAATGAACAATGGCTGCAAAGTTACATAATAATCTGGTGATTCTTATCCTTATGTAATAGGTTAAATTACTATTGTGACACTGTCATTAGTAAGGTAAAACTAATTTGTCTCACGACGATCTAAACCCAGCTCACGTTCTCTATTGGTGGGGACCTCCTATAAACCTAGCTCACATTTGGTGGGGACCTCCTATAGATAAAAGTCCCCCTTTTAGGATTTAAACTTTGAATTTTTTCATGATTTTTTGCATGCTTGTTAGACACAATATAAGCATCCCTCCTAAAAAAAAATTGCATTTTTACGTCATATGAATTGATTATGAATTGAACGTCATATGAATTGATTATGAATTGTTTAAGCAACGTTTTTCAAGAACAAAAATAGCAAAAACCTTGGCTTATGGGTGTTCGCGGTTCGGTTTGGATCGATTTTGAAACAAAATGCCATCCGATCCAAAAATATAGTTGCTTGCAGTTTTGTTCGGTTTTGGATGATTGGCTAAAAAAATATGATCCGATCCAATTTCTTGCGATTTGATTTGAATCGGTTTTTTAGATATCCAAATTAAAAATTATAATTTTATTAATATTGTAAAAACACTAATAAATAATAAATTTGACATAGTATATAACATATCTTTCTTAAAATTTAATATTACAAAATAATAATGATTAGTTATGATTAAAACAAATGAAATAAGAAAAATTAATAGGTTAAATCAAACTAATAAATAGTATTTTATAAAAAAAAGTTATCATCTAATAATAAATTAACACAACCTATTATACTAATAAAAAATAGTTACATATAAAAATAGATACATGCGGTTCGATTTAGTTTAGATCGATTTTAAAAAATCAATCCAAAATTCGATCCAAACCAATCGACTTTTATAAAATAACATTCAAACACATCCAATAATTTTTGATTTTTTGCAATTTTTAATTTTTTTGAATCGGTTTGCAATTTTTATTTAGATTGGTTTGGATTTAAACACCCCTACCTTGACTTAAGAATTGAGTGTTGAGCTGATTTTTGCATAGACTTTTCACATAACACAAAGGATTTGCAAATTTCGTAGCATTTCAAACAATCCTTGATTTATTTAAAATTTTCAATTGAAACTAGTATAAATGAGGCGGAGGCAACAAAACCTTGACCTATGAAATAAATTTTGATCTAATTTTTTTACAATAAATTCTCTTAAAACAAATGGAGAGTGACTTCAAAATTTCATAGAATTTCGAAAAATCCTCAACATAATTTAGTTTTTCGAGGGTTAAATCTTAAAAAAAAGAAACATCGGAACATTGACCTCCACAATGAACTTTGATCCAAACATTTGGATGAACATTTCTTCTTACAAATTGACAATGACTACAAAGTTTTGTAGCATTCTAATGATTTCTCGATTTATTTCGAATTTTCAGGGGACATGCATTCAAATAGCAGATGCAACGAAAAACTTGGTCCAAACCTTCCACGTGTATCGTATTGAAGTGATTATTTGCATGGACCTCATTCCATCAATGTCAAGATTTTCTTCAACTTTTCAGAGACCAAATATTCAAAAGACTGATACAACGGAACCCTACATCCCATTTTTGAGATGTTCATTGCTTCAATATATTTTAGCAACAAATGCTTTAACTATGCTGCCAAAATAAGAATGGTATAATCTCTCACATTGACTTACTTATCTTTATCATTGTTAACCTAGAAATTAATTCTAGATACCATATAATATCTGTCTATATTTCCCTGGATTGAATTTTTCAAAAACAAAACTTCTTTGATAGACTAGACTTTAGTTGGTATTTTACATCCCATTTTTGAGATTTTCATTGCTTCAATATATTTTAGCAACAAATGCTTTAACTATGCTGCCAAAATAAGAATGTTATAATCTCTCACGTTGACTTACTTATCTACTTATCTTTATCATTGTTAACCCAGAAATTAATTCTAGAAACCATATAATATCTGTCTATATTTCCCTGGATTGAATTTTTCAAAAACAAAACTTCTTTGATAGACTAGACTTTGGTATTCAATAGGTAAATTTTAGCTTACTTAAAAAATTTAGGTAAAATATCATTTTTGTCCCTTGATTATACATTTGGGTTTATATTGATTCTTTAATTTTTTTTTCGTGTCAAATTGATCGCTTAACTCTTAAAACGTATCATGTTAGTCCTTTTTGTCTAATTAGTGACGAATTTAACGATCGTTTTTTAAATTTTTTTTATTACTAATTAGACAAAAAGGACTAACATGACATATTTTAAGAGTTAAGGAATCAATCTGACACAAAAAAAATTAAGAAATCAATCTGAACTCAAAAATATAGTTAAGGGACAAAGATGATATTTTGCCAAAAATTTATGTTGTCCAGCACGATTTCAGTTTAATTTTTCTTCTCTTCTTTAACAACGGGTAAATGTGCTGAACGCAATAACATAGCTTTATGAATTTATCTACTAGCTAAATAAGTGCTCAACAAGACAAGATAATTCGATTTCCCCACATACAGAATGCAAAATAAGCCCAAAGGGCCACACAGCAAACTTGTACATCTACATGAAACAGTATATTCCACTTCCGAACCAAACATAACCTACCAACAGCTTAAACGAACAAAAACCATGAAGCCATAAATAAACCATCCATAATCTTTCGTTAACAACCAGAGACATGCTCAATAGTACAACCTGACAGGAAGAGAAAGATGGCATTTTACATTCTGCAATAGAGTGAAAACCCCAAAATATTATGTCACATTGTATAGTAAAATAGTTCTCCATTAAAATTTCACCACTCCAATCCTATCAACCAAACACAATCATCTCATTCAATCCCTCTTCTCCACTATATTAAAAATCCCGCATCTCTCATTTGAACAAAACTAGACACTTAGACAAGAAACAGATTTCATAATTGTTGCATCTACAAATATTGGGACAAACTTTATATATAATATAGCAGGGGCAAAAAGGGGTAAGGGCACACCTGCGGAGACAGGGTTGAAGTGATGAATTGGCTCCCACTAATCTTCTGCACCAAGCCAGCCAACAATTGGGGAGTTAATTTTCAATAACACAACAAAATGTATTAATAAGGTAAAAGAACAAGTATCCACCCATGCCTTGAAATTACGTGTAGATACAACTCAATTACAAAGAAAAATAATAAAATTCAAATGCATGATAATCTGTTAGCAGACAGACAGCAGGAACAGTATAAAATTAAATCAAATCAACGTCCAATTCAAGCAATGCAGATAAAATGCATAAAAACTGAAAACAAAACCAATAAAGCATAAATACATATAAATTTGAGTTTCAAGATTAAAAAACTAATTCAATTAATCAAAAACCCATAGCTGACTTACAGAATTTTAATGATAAAACAAACTAGAAATGTAAATAAAACTGCACAGATCAGTCACACATTTAACCTATGGTGTCAATAATAGTGCATTGTGGTGTAAATAATGTAGGTCATTGCACCAAATTACTCCTCGAACTTTGTCAGTATTTTACATGAATGTTTTCCCCAAGATTTGAGACCTTTGTTTCTAATTATGAATATTTCATGAATTGAGTAATTTGATTCATTTTATAGCAATTATGCATTTATTAAGTATTAACTGTGTAATTTGTCCAAACTACTCCTCGAACTTCATCAATATTTACATGTATGTTTTGCTCAAGACTTTGAGACCTTTGTTTGTAATATGAAATTATGAATACTTTATAAAATGATTAATTTGATTCATTATGTAGCAATTATGTATTATAAGTGTTAACTGTGTAATATGTCCAAAATATATCAGAGCATTCATCTCACAGAAGTGATTACAAATTTAGGGGCAGCCTCTCTGCTCCCCATTCAGAGATTGACAACAGGTTAACATTAAATGTTATACTTGCCATAGTTTTCATGGACTTTACACAGCAAATAAAAAAAGCCCAAATAATTTAAAGAATCTTAATTTTGAAATCCAATTTGCATTTACTCCAAAGCAGAGAAGCACAATATTGAAACAAGTTAACAACAAGCTAATCAAGCATGTGGAAATGGCTTACTAGACTCACAAGGGCTACGGCCCGGAAATTCGTATGTTTGGGTTCCTCCCTGACACCCACAATGTTTAAGGAATACCCTAGTACCAATGAAGCACAAACACCTCTAAAATTAGGCGTGTCACAATGTATGGCACGCATCAGTGTCTGACACTCGAATGAAACTTATCGGAAAACTCATACAAGTCTTCCAAAAACAGTTTTTCTTCTTTCCTTTGACATTTCTTGAATCAGCGACTAACACCCCTATAACACTCATACGACTCAGTGTCACAATTCAAGCAAGTGTTCCAAAAAGAAAATGTTTTTTTTTCTTTCCTTCAACATGACTTAATACATTTTCTGAACAAATCTAAACACTTCTAAAAGAATTAAAGATGTGTTGAAGCAATGTTGGAACAATAATGGATCAAGGAGATTAAATTTGATTATAACATTTTAAACGTTTTATAGTAGATGGATTGATAAAGGTCAAATTCTATCATATACGGTGTCCTATGTTTTTTACATGACCAGTGTCAGAGTACAAGTGTATGCTTCAAATGGATGCATTTCCAAGATCACGTGAATCAAATGACAAACCTGGAAAGTCCACAAGTCATTCAATGAAATCCAACTTCAAAAGTGATTCATTATTCACTATCAAAATGAATCATAAGTGATACGGTGTCCTATGTTTTTTACATGACCAGTGTCAGAGTACAAGTGTATGCTTCAAATGGATGCATTTCCAAGATCACGTGAATCAAATGACAAACCTGGAAAGTCCACAAGTCATTCAATGAAATCCAACTTCAAAAGTGATTCATTATTCACTATCAAAATGAACCATAAGTGATTCGGTGAAATCCAACTTCGAAAGTCTACAATCTATCCAGGATGATTCATGAGTCACACATTGATTTATCACTACTAATAGTAATAAGTAATATGAACTTTAGGCAATCCTCCCAAAAAGACCAAAGATAGAAAGACGATCCAAGTTCAAACAATTCTTTAAGTAAACAATCACCAAGCCAGAACCAAAACCTTCTTTTAAGAGTTTCACAAAAGATATCTACAACAATTACACCATTCCTAACCCCCCTAATCAAACTGAATAAAATACAAATAGGTTCTATAAAAATCTAAATAAATTCCCAAATTCCAATAGGGTGGCATTTGTTATCACAATCTTCAACAAAAATATCAACAAAATTGTGATTGATTGATTGCATAGTATCATATTCCTAAATTAAATCATTCTATCAACAAAAGAAGCTCCCAAATTATCACAATCAAAGCAAAGAAGAGCTCAAAAACCTAACCTTTCTTATGTTCATCCGCAACAGAAAGAGGCTTGATAACAGCTTCACCCTCATCACCCTCTTTGACAGCAACAACAGCCTCTGCTGCATCTTTATCATCCGGATAGCGAACAACCACAACAGGGCAAACACAATGATGAACGCAGTAATCACTAACACTTCCAAGCTTCCCGTCACTACCGCGACGCGCCGCACCAAATCCGCGGCTCCCCATAATAACAGCACTAAGACCAAGACGCTCAACCTCAAGACAAAGACGCTCCTTCATGTCATGATCCTTCACGATGTGGATCTTGTACGGAATCTGAGCTTCTCGGAGCGGTTTTGCAAGATCGGCTGATTTCGTTGCCGTGAACGCGTCATAATCTTCTACAAGCTTCCGCTTTGGTGTCGGGGTTTCATTAAGATTGTTGTTCTTGTTGTTGTTGACGTCGTTGATGTTTTCTTCTTCGGAAATAGGGTCGGTGTTAATGGTGAGATCGATGGAACCCCAATCAGCCCCGAAGAGGACGTTGGTAGGGCTGACGTGGAGGAGGATGACGGCGTCACCGGGACGGATGTAGTGTTGTACTGCCCAGCGTACAGCGTACGCGCTCTCGTCGGAGAGGTCAACGGCTACACCAATTTTACGACGGGCGCCGGCGGTGGGAGTGGGTGTGGCGGGTGACTGGTGGCGAGGGGAGGACGGGTGGTGGATTCTGATTAGTGGTAGCTGCGGATCGGATTCGTGGGCGGTGGGGTTATGGGGGTTATGCATTTTTTTTGTTTTATTTTTGTTTTTGGTGTAAAGACAAGAGAGAAAAAAGAGGAGTTTGAGAGAGAGAGAGATTGGTTTTGTGTCTTAATCGCTAAGTAGGGAGCTCTGTGTTAAAGAAGGAATGGGTTTGATTGTTTATGGATAATTAAAGATTGGAGTGTGTATAAATAGTGGAAGAGAGGAGATCATACAGGTTGGGCTCTTGTGGTTTACTTGGGACTACACAAGGGGGTTTACATGGGCCTACTCAAGGGGCAACACTGTACCTTATTATTTATATCTCTATCTCTGCATTAAAAAAGATTTATCAAAATATTCTCATATAAATAATTTATTAAAAGTTAAAAAATATTATAAAAATTGACTATTAAAACTTTTTTACTTTTGGTACGTACAATAAAAATTATGAAAGTTTTAAAAAAATGGACTACTGAAACTCTTTTCCAAAATTTTTAAATACACAAAATAAAAGTTAATATTAAAAGTTAACTATCGAAACTAAAGTCTTCCCGTGCAAAATAAAAGTTAATATTAAAAATTGATTATCGGAACTCTTTTGCAAAGTTTTTCAGTACACAAAATAAAAGTTAATATTAAAATTTGACTATCGAAACTTTTTTGCAAAGTCTTCTGGTATACAAAATAAAATTTAAAAAATGATTACCGGAATTCTTTTGCAAAGTCTTCCGATACACATAAATGACTACCAGAACACTTTTGCAAAGTCTTCTGGTACACACACAAAAAGTTTTAAAAATTTAAGGAATGACTACCGAATTTTTTTTACAAAGTCTTCTGGTACACAAAAATTGACTACCAGAACTCTTTTGCAAAGTCTTCCGGTACACACAAAAAATTAAAAAATGTTTGAAAAATGACTACCGAAACTCTTTTGCAAAGTCTTCCGGTCGCAAAATAAAATTTGAAAAATATTTAAAATAATAAATTAGTTAAAAATATACAGGAGCAAAATTGGTATTATGTAGGGGTATAGGGATAAAGGTATGGGGGTATGAGGTAAATTTTTTAAGTTTAAGTACTTCTTTTATGAACCTTAAATTTTTGAAATTGATTTTTTCGAGTTTGAAAATTTGTCGCGAAAGAAACTATCGGGTCGAGTAACAGAGTAAATCATTCTCTTTAAAAACATTTTTTAACAGTGCTCAAAATTGTGTAAAGCAGACTATCAATTACAACGCTTTTAAGATAAAATTGTTGGGGGAGATTATGGATGTAGATAGGGATGGCAAAACGGGTCTGGGACAAACCACTAGATGAATATGCTTGTTTCTCACACACTTTTTATGGGACGGGCCAAGGTTTTAAGCTCGCACCACCAAATATGTTTGTCACACCCGTTCGTTTTTTTTTTGGGAGTTTTTGCAGGTGAAGCATTAAGATAAATTTGTCATTTATGGGCGATAAAGATGCAACGACTGCGGGTCCTCCCACTCCGCCCTTATTTTTTGTGGGACAGGCCAAGGTTTTAAGCTTGTACCCTCAACAATGCATGTCTCACCCCCACTTCATTAGTTTTTTAAGGCTTTTGCAGGGCGGAGCTAACCAGGGAGGGTGTGCTTGTTTGCCACCCCTAGATGTAAAATGGTCTAGAAGGTGATTAAATACACAGTTCTCCTAAAATCATTTTCAAAAATTAGATTTTTACAAGCACGAGCAAGATTTATAAATGCAAGCAAGAAAGCAGAATTTTCTAAATGATGCATTTGAATAGATTTTATTATTTACTCAAATTGCAAGAGAATAGAATGATTGTGATAGAAGAAAAATTCTTAAACAATACATCAATTAAACTAATTTAAACTACATATAAGGTTTAAATTGAACCCTATCAACTGAACAGTCAATCTAATCGCTAAGAGTTCGTACAATCATAATCGCCAATAAATCACTATAATTAGAAAAAACCTAGCAACATGTGATTCTAGAAAGCGGTAAAGTCTAACTCTTGCAAATTTGTTTAAGAATCTTAAAAGAGATATTTGTGCACCAGGTTTACACTAGTTCAGCACATTTTTCCTCGCTAGAACTTAGTTTATTCTTCAATGGAAAACCATTAAAATTTTGTTAGGTTTTCCACTATTTTATAAATTAATATACAAGATTATTTTAACAACGGACAATCAAGACAACACTGAACACTTCAAAGTCAAACCATGCTTAAGTCAGCACATACTTGAATCTAGATTTCCCTTCTGTTGTAGCAGAACACTAACATTGTTGAACTCAAAAGATCTTCACTCAATTTGGACCAATTACCTTTATAGACCCAAAGTTTTGCTATAAGCTTCCTTCTGCAATAGTTTTTACTCAACCATATCAAAAGTCCCTTGTTTGAGCCTTTGTTCTACTGAAGGATCTTCAAAATTCTCAACTTCGTCTCTATCAACCTTCATTTGGTCATATCAATTTATGTGCTTGTAATTACAACTATTTGCATTAGTCATGTCATCATTGTAAGAGCAAGAATTGTCTCTACATGATATCTCTGTGTTTTGATGATAACAATTAAGTATTTGTGAAAGAACCATTTTATGTTCTAATGTTTATTGTGTGCAGATCGTTAAATAAAGATATTAGATCAAACAAACAATATCAAGAAGTGCATTAAATACAATATGGAGTTACTTTGTGTGACGTGACATAAAGCGCTTATTAAAGAAGCAAGTTTGCCTCTGTATCTGTTCACGATCAGAAAGTTCCAAGAATGTTGTATATTGCAGTTGCAATGCTCCTGTGGATTCTGATCTGAGAAGTGCATCTGATCTGAAAGCAATCAAAGCGTATTGAAGAAGCAAGTATGGCTCTATATCTGATCACAATCAGAAAGATCTAAAGATGTTATATATTGCAGTTGCAATGCTCATGCGGATTCTACTCTGAGAAGTGTATCTGATCTGGAAGCTATCAACGCATCTGAGATACAGTCCTCTGAAGAACCAAGCTCTGAAGACTCTGGTGACTTAAAGTTCTGAAGGCTGAAGGCTCTGAAGACCAAGTGCATAAAGACTCTGAAGACTTAAGGGTTCTGAAGATCAAGACTCTAAAGATATAATCCTCTGAAGAATTACGTGCTGAAGACTCTGATGACTTGAAAGCTCTGAAGGCTGAAGGCTCTGAAGACCAAGTGCAGAAAGACTCTAAAGACTAGATTCTGAAGATAAATATTATGTAGCTTCACCCAGACAAAGACGTGTTAATCAGATAAGTTATTGCTATCAACTCTGATAAACAAAATGCTAAAGCCAGACTCTGATGTTATTACGCTATCATACCAAAGTAGTCTCTGAACTACTCATCTGATACATCATCAGAAGAACAAAAGCCAGAAGCTAATATGTCCTAGCTGATAAATGAATATCACATCATTAGTGGATAAGAGCTGTCTCCCACAATGATATATTAACGTTGCAAGAAAAGGAAAAGAAAGTGATGTCAGTACTATACAACACGTGAGTATTCTATCTATTGAGAAATGACCGTTGGAATATTTGAATGGACATCTCTACCCTTACAACCTCTCTTTTGAAATGCACTATAAAAGAAGAACATTTGATTCATTCAAATGTTGAGCCAATTAAAAAGCAAGCCAGCTTGTTACAAAGCAATGATGCTGACGAGTGAAGTTAGCAACATAGTTGATTAACAAGAAAAGCTTTATGCTAAGAAGCCGCAGTGCTCACACAAGAAAGCTTTTAAGCAATATGGAAACTACTGTTCTAATAATCTCATAGAGATTTATCTTTAGATTAGTTTCTGTATTAGGAAGCAAGGAGTTGTTGCTCAATACTTGCTATGTACTTAATTAGAAGTAATCTGCTTGATAAGAAGCACTCATGTAATCTCTGGCAACATAAATTCAATTTTGAATTAGTGGTTCCTCAAGTGATCTTGTGAAGATCAGAATACTTGAGATAACAAGTGACAGTTGTCATTTGTGGTATCCTAATAGGAGATCTTTTGTGATCGAATTCTATTAGGTGTCACTGAATGTTATATCCTAAGGGATCCCTGAACGTGTCATTGTCTATTTGTTAGTCACTTGCAGTTAGCTTGTGAAACTGTAATCAGTTTGGTTATAGTGGATTAAGTCTTTGCTTGAGTGAGGCGAAATCACCTTGGAAGGGTGTACTGGATTAGCTTGAGAGTTGCCCAAGTGAACCAGGATATATCATGTGTTCTTTACTTGTGTTATGCTTTATTATTTATGCTTCCGCAATGCATCTTATAGAACTCTATAGAAAACAACAAGTGAAGAAACCCAGAAAAAGTTTTAATAGAGTGAATACCCAATTCACCCCCCCCCCCCTTTCTTGTGTATTTTTCACACCTTCAGTTGGTATCAGAGCTCCGGTTCTGTTATTGATGGATATCAAACACCTAACAATGTCAGAAAAAGATCCAAAAGCTGTGTGAAAAAATACTCTTGGTGGTTTTTCACTTCACTTACAATTTCAGTCTAATATCAGTTTTTGATGAAGATGAGTACTGAAATTGTAATCAAATGGGTTATCTTGAACAAGTCAGTGATTCGTTGAAGTTTGAAGTTTTGAAGTTATCAAGAACTAAATCTTCTCCGCTAGAGCTTGGAAGAAGATTGAAGAATCAGTTGACAAAAGAGATTCATCAGATAAGAAGTTTTCTGTTGAATGTTTATCTTGTAATACGTTTGGATATACAATGTATTCGTTCAAAAAGATCAAATCATCAGAAAGCAAGAAATCTTGTTTGCTGAAGATTATTTCTATGTGAGTATGAGATGTTTTCAAGAAACGGATTAGTCCACTCTTGACTTTCTCATGAAAAGCTCATTGGGAATTATCTTTAGTAAGTAAAGAAAAATTGTTGGCTAATGAATTTGACTCATAGAAACTTCAGAATAAAGTCTGCAGAAAAGGGCTGGAACAAAGATAGTTCAAATTTTGAAGCAATGATCCTCCTGATTCAAGGCATCAGAATGTTGTTGTCCTTGAGAAGATTCA